CATGCTTGAGTTCAGCATCATATAATGGATCTGTGGATATTTTTTCTAGCTTCTACATCCATGGGATATTCTTCAGTACAGCAAGTGATTTAGCTGATCATGAAGCCTGTGAATTAGTGAATTTTATCTGGTATACAAAAATTAAAATTCTTAAAGTAATAATTATGGTATCCTGCTACTGACTTTTTAAAGATTAACTAGTCTAGTTAGTAGTTAGTGTACTGACTCTTGCAGTGATAAAGTAAGGAGTTCTTGGTTTAGAATAAAGTTTTAAGCTCATACCTTCATTATATAATGCTTGAGAATATCATGTGAAGTAGTACTGGTTATATACATATGATATGGAACTACTTTCAATAAAAATAAGGCAGTCTTCTTTGTTGCATCTCACTTAATAAAATATATGTGTAACCAAAGTTGTTTACTTTTTGCAGCTATAATTGAGTTAATATGGTATGGAAAGCCACAAACCAAGGGTCAATTAATCAGGATTGTCCTGAAGAACTTCCATCCCTTTTTAAGTATATTCCATGCAATGCAGTTTCTGTATTTGATAGCATTGAAGAGTGTGGTTGCCTGGACTTTCTATGTCAACCAACTGCTCAGACTCCAACTTCCTATCCTGCTTGTACATTAGCTAAAGTCATTCATTCAACTAATGCCTGTTGATAAGGGATAGGCTTGACATTTGTATGCTTTGTAGTACATTGGATGGCCATGACATGGTCTGAGTACATAAACAATATAAACAGTTTTTTTACAAGTACTGGGGCTTAACTCTGAGTACAAGGTTTCTCTGATCCATTGCCTAGAAAACCCACAGAAGACTGACTTGGATATTTCAGATATAAGTCGTTAAATTATCCTTGTGAATCTACTTGTGGTTTGTCTTGCTATTATGTAAATCAACAGAAGTTTTGCATCCTCACCTGCATCTAAGCAGGTGTAGTATACTAATGCTTCTATTGGCATATCTGCATGTTTTTTATCAGTTGACTTCATAATTTATTAATGATCCAAATTTTGGATATATGTACAATAATATAACCCTTAGGCAGGCTAATCCTTGTACCTATCCCTTCCCCTTTCACTTTAATTTCATATTTACAAGCATGACCAATACAACTGCTTCCTATTCCCTACTTGGTTTGTTGACCTTTGGAACCATTTGAAAATCATATCCAGTTATGTTGCCTGTTCTCAACCCTTGTAGCACAAGTAGATATGTGTGTACTTAATATGTTGCTTTTGCTTCTGCTTTCTCATATGCGCATATCTTGGAGCAGTTAATTTGGGATGAAGTTGGGCAAGATGAGTTTGAAAAGGAGAAGGTTCTCCTAGAACTGGAACGGGAGTGTCTGGAAATTTACAGGAGAAAAGTTGATAGTGCAAACATACACAGAGCTCAGAAATGTGTAAGTAAAGATCAAACTTTTGTGGTTGTATACAATGTTTTACTTCAAACTCTAAATTATCGACTACTAAACATTTCTATTTGGTTTGGTTAGAAACTTTCAAATTGTTGAGTTGTAAAAGATTCAACTATGCAAAGCAATAGAACCATCATATTTTTACTATGTAATTTTTTAAATTCCTCTGGAAGATGGATGTAGTTGATATAGTAAGGGCCATAAAGGGTGCAAATTGGATGCCCAGTTTGAAGAATTTCAACTATATTGGGTTAAGGTCCATTGACCATTGAAATTTAATAGATTCCCAAACCCAACACAATCCAAGATTCACGTACGCATTACCCATCTAAGGTGTTTGGGAAGAGTGGACTAGTCGTTTTCATTTTTTTCTTTAATTATTTTTGCTTGGAGGATGCAGCTGAGATCTAAGGTTTAAATGCTTTCATTTTTCACTTTTTACTTCCGGTGGTAACCACATTTTGTGACTACACAAATATGTTTGGTCAGAGGGTTTAACATGTTTGAATATTGTGATTCATTTGTAGGCAGGAACTGGAAAATCCTCTGATTCTCATTCATGACAAGAAGATTTCAGACATTAGAACAGGCAGTGGCCCCTCATTTTTAGCTTATTTTATTCTTTACTTATCAAGGAAATTGCTTGTGTTGATGGAAATCATAGCCCAATGTTTATTGTTTGTTGTGAGACCTGTGTTATCAATTATCATGTACCTGAATTGCATGCCTAATTCTTAATAACTTAATATGTTCACTATTCCCTTTAGTATTGATATTCCCCCACTTTGATTCATGGAAAAAGGGTTGCTCATCAAGAGAGAACAGTAGAGAGATTCCTGATTTCCACATTTCCCTTGTTGAGATGTTAACCAAGCTGGTTAGCATCTCTACCCCCTCCCAAAGAAACAGAACACCTCATTACATTCAACGTCGGATAATTCCACTTCTGCTTCTCAGTTCCCTCAAGACCACCCATAAAGTGGATAACTGAGGATGTGCAGTTGCAGTTCCATCTATGGTGTCCAAATTCCATAAACTGAAATACAGTTGGTGGATGTTGTCTCCATCCACTGACCTGGTACAAATCCTGCCTTTACCCTCCCCAATCTCATCTCCAAGTTTGCCTAGCACAAGGGAAAAGAATAAGTAAATATGATGTTATTCAAGCAGAATGCTAAGAGGAATATGTTTATTTAATCATGCAAACACCCATAAATAACAAATCAATAGTGCTGAGAATGACAAATACTAATACGAGTATGGTTAACAGCTTAGGACATCCATAGAGAAAATCACTGCCATGTATGACAAGGACATCAAACTTGTTTTGATATTTTTCTCTTGGCTCACCATGGGTTTTTGGAAAGTTTTAACATCACATGCAAGAAAATCTAAACAKATTACCAACGGAGGGGAGGTTTTTATCTGATGACATCACCCAACAGGGGAGGTTTTAGTCCATTTTGTAAAGAGATGAGAGGTTTAAGTACTTGTGTGAAAATTCAAAGAAGGTTTAAGTCTTTTACCCAAAAGGATAACGATAAAACAGCCCAATGGTGATTAGGATGGAGAATAACCACCACCAAGTCCCTTCTATGTGATTAGAATTTAAGGAAAAAAAACAACATAGAAGTTGTGAGTATGACAGTTGAAACTTGAAACAGATGGCAGAATCCTGAAGAATGTGTCAAATATTTTAACGGCAATTGGAGAATTATATATATTTAGGAAGCGTCAGAATCAATAAGTTTGGATGGCCATGTTCTTAACGGTACATCATGTCTTTATCCATTTGCATGAACTAAATTGGGATATTTATTTGCTCGCAAACTAAATTGGAGCTCTATGCACTGAATCTTGCAGCTCATGGGTATGTTGGTTTGCAGCTCTATGCACCGAGTCTGCTCTTCACTGAATCTGCTCTAGAGAAAGTTGTGATCGACTTGGAAGATGAAAAAGTAGATGTTAAGATATTCAACTTCATGGCTGAAACAGTACATGTTGTGATCGCCAAGTGGATTTGCATTGGAGGATGTGATACATTATCCGAGATATTGATTTTTTTAAGTCCTTGTAATTTTTATATATCAATTGGATAATGTATTTGAATAATTTGTTTTGGATAGTGTATTTGAACATTTTATTTTGGATATTATAATAATTAATTTTAAATTAATAGATTTAAGTTGTTTAAGTTTTCATGTATCAATTTTCAAGAATGTATTAAGCATGTATTAAAGTGATGGATCAATAAAGTGCAGGTATAAAAAAGGTACTGAAATCAACCTTCCATATAAAAAAACACAGCTCTAAGTTGGCGGTCAATTAATTGCCAGCTTAGCCATAAATAAGGTTACATGTGGCAATCGGATATGATGTAAGCCAGTGGTTCAGACCGCCACCTAAAAGAGAAGTCATTTTTTGGCAAAACTTTAGCCGGTGGTTCAAATCGACGCCTTAAGTAACTAACTGGCCATTTTTGGCAAAAACCTAAGCCGGCGTTCAGAAACGCCTACACAAATGTTAATTTCAAATCTAGGCGGTGGTCTACTATTATTTGTACCAGTGGTTTTCAATGCCGATTATTTATTTATTTATTTTTTACTTTTTCCCGTCGGTGTATAACTGCCGGTATATGGAAGGATAAGCCAACAATATTGACAAACCGCCGGTAATGCTTACTTCAATGGCCTAAGTTGGTGCCACCTATGCCGGCAGTTTTATGTGGATATTGCGGTGGTCTTTATTTTTGCTGATGGTGGCTATACTGGGAAAGAAAAACCGCCCGCTTAAGTCAATGCCAACGCTCATGAAATTTGTGTTGATGAATCAAGACTGCCAGCTAAAGCCTGGTTTTTTTGTAGTGTCCATTCACCTCATGGCGGGGCCTGAGCGAATCCATCAAATCTGACCAAGATTCTCCTAAAATAGTGGGACTAATCAAGGATTGGTGCTGAAGATGAACATCGTCCAATGGATACCATAATCCATCCTTGTAAAGCTGAAGCCACCATCTGGCTCATGGAAGAAATTCACAGGCTTACCTCTTCTCATCATCACAGCTAAACTCTGGCTTTTGTATCCCATGCACCATGCTTTTGTTGACCCATTTTCCCACAGCTATGAATCCCATTGTACAAAACCATTGTTTCTGATGTGGAGAACTTTGTTTATACGAGTCATTTAGGGGGGGGAGGGGGGGATCCATCATTCCATCACTGGACACCGAAGGTAAGTTGATGAGTCATGAATCATCCAGCCTCCATTCATAATCCGAGACCGGAATAAAATAGTTTGCCACATGGATAACTTCAAAACTTGCATAGATGTTAGATGATATAACTACCTTCTCTTGTCATGTTAGAAATAGACAATCCAATCCCCCCATCATCCCCAACGTAAGAAGGGGGAATGAGAATGGTTGCCCACACTACATAATAAATCTCTTGAATAAGTTATTTCCTGAGTCCTGACCACAAAAAGCTTCTTAAAAGAAGGTAAAAGGCTAAAGATAGAGATATATATATATAAACACAGGAAAAATAAGAGAAAATGCAGAGACCAGGAAATTATTTTGTAAAATTCCAACCTCACAGTTAATCAAGAGTCTGATAATGTATTACAAGCAACCAAAAAAAACAAGCGACAAGGAAAACTTCAAATTCCAGCCCTTTTCTACTTCTGCCTTGACGTATATTTACATCTCTCTCTCTCTCTCTCTCTCTCTCTAAAAATAGGACTCTTAGCCGATGAATTGTTACTACTGTAGTGATGGTAAGACAGAAGACTACTTGGATAGTACTCTAGATATGGCTCTAATGGCATTTGGTGTTGTTCTGCAGCAGCCTCCTATGAGGGAAGCCCCGGCCTCACACCATTTACTTACATATGAAATAAAATCTTCATCTCGCACTCCAGTAGATTCCTGCATGAAGAAACCTTGGAGAAGTGCAGTTAATTCCAACAACAACAACAACCTTCTTACATGAATCAGCATCAGATGCACATTCAAGAAAAGAATCTCCACTAACTACATTTGACACCATCCTTAGAATTGAATGAAAACCATGCTGGAATCTGTATGTCATCTCCCTCGAGAAGTTCAACATAGGCCTGCATGACCACCAACCAAACCAAGAGATAAAGTCAATACCAAACTGAAAAGTTCAAACCAAGTAATACAATGGGAATATCATTTTTGATAAACCCTACTCACTTAACATACACTGGTAAACCTGCTTGGATGTTCTACCAAATCATCAGTTTGGCTCAATAAATAGGACCCACAAAACTGCACGAGCAAAATGCTAAGCATCCACCTACCATCAACGGTCCAATTTATTCCGACATCTCTTTCATGGCTTGAACGCTACAGCTATCCAGATTTTGGATCTAGATCAGAGAGTCTGTAGTTCTTAGGAAAGGCTCATGCCACTTATTGAGTAATTTCAATAGTTAATTCTATTAACCCTTTGTAAGTAAAAAACAGGAGAGAAACCAATCACTATCATTTGCTACAAGCACCAAAGAATATAATCAATTTTCAATTTCAGCCTATAGTTACAGACCCAGTCCTAGGCTTGGTTTTTCCCCAGATCAGTGGAGGTAGCTCCCATGATTTTTTATGTGAGAATGATTCCTTTTTGGGTCTGCCCCTAGCCCTTCTAGGGTCAGAACCAAGCTCTCTTCATCCACCCCTCGTGTTTCCAACCACTTGTAATGATCATACGTCTAACTCGCTCATGGAGCTCTTGTGGCAGCAACCTATGATGCATCCACTCCTCTGAATCAAGGACCCAAATTCCACTTCCGAACAGCTATGTACAATGTTGAATTCTTTGCCCTCCAACTCTTCCCAAGTTTCAGTGGCAGGAATCTCTACAATACACAAACTACCACTTGATAAGCACATGGCTAAATGTTTTGGGGGAAAAAGGCCATATCTTGAACAGCAGCAGAGTATTTCAGGTTGAATAAATACAAGGGAGGTGGCATTAAAAGATAAAGCAAGAGGTGATATCAGTATGTTGAAATTTTCTATCACCAAATCTGTTGAATTCTCCATCACAGCTGTTACCCAAACAAAGTTGTAGGCTGTAATCTTTCCCCCAAGTGTCAAACAAATCAAACGCAATGCCTTTGTCGGGTCCCACATGAATTTCACTCCATCCTTCTTCAAGTATCTTATTTCATGTTTCAAGTACCAATGGTTGTTACTGAAGGACCAAATCTTAACAGAACCATGCCTTTCACATCTTGCAATGGCTGCAAGAAGATCTGAGGTGCAATTCCACTTCAGGACTTCAATTGTTGTATCTATTGGCTCACCGATGCTAAATGAGCTTCTTTCTAACCCATTCCTCTCAAAGAAAACAACCAGAGGGCACTTGTTTTCAGCTTTCCTGTCATATGCTGCAGCTATTTTGGCACCACTTGGCATCCAATCCAAGGCTACTCCCATGAAAGGCTTTAATTCTGAAGCTGCATGCAGTGACCCAGAATCCCGTTCCCAAATTTTTTCTTTGCAAGGAAGAGTTGTGCTCTTTACTTGAAGTAGCAAGATATTTCCCATCACCTCACCAAGAAAGGGTACTTTCAAATGTATAATCTCCAATTGCTTCACCTGAAAATCATACTACAGTAAAAAGATTGATCAGACCATAACATAAACAATGAAGAAATACTTGTTAAAAGGATCCAATAAAAAATACTTATTAAAATAGCCAAGACAGGAAGAAGCCATCCCAAAGTTGTTTACATGTGTAACCAGACAAACATAAGTAACCAACCTGTAGACCTTTCCTGGACTGTCTTATAAGTACATGTTCCATTGTAAATATTGAATTATTATTTTTATTTAAACAAAGAACTCCCTCTGTATAACAATCATATTCCAGGTATACTGTATGTTAAATCAGTTAACAGTTTTTCTAGATTTGTCCTATCATGGCCACGGCTAACCGTGCAATTTCATCATAACTTAAAGACATTGATACAAAATGAACATTCAAGTCAGAAGGAATTTTGTTTCATGTATTTGAGTTTTTAAACACTGCACTTTTAATATAAGGGGCTTTTTCTTGTGCCTTGAGTCCCTTGAATCTATGTTAGGAAAGAGCATCAAGTTGTTGGACCAAGCTTTTTCTTGTGCCTTTCACTTTTAAACACTGCAGTATAGTGACCTCCAATGCATTTCTTTGCATCTTAAACCTAACCATGCCCAAACATTTTCATTAATTAAACCCGGATTTTAATTTATGTGTAAGTTATATGGTATCTACTCTAGGTCAGTTTCAGTCCAAGTATTCAATGAAGGAGCTAAAATATTACTTGCAATGCAACTATTGAAACTTATTAACCCCTTCGGATTTCTTTTCTTTTACCATCAATAACCTCAAGCATTGCAGCAAAATAATAGTTCTTAATTAGTCTCGCAAACAATAATTAGTCTCTGCAAGAAAATCTTTTCCAATTTATTTGGGGCAAAGTTTCAGAATTTTGGCATATAATTTTGGAAATTTTAACAAGGAAAGTGAGCTTCTCTTTTATCTTATAGATATTTTAAACAAATACATATTAGAGATATCTTTTTTCAAATTTGGTACAAACCATTACTATTGTCTTCAAATTATTTTTGCTACAGATAACAAATTTAAGTTTTTTTTATCAGTGACAGAGAATTCATTGAATTAGATATGAAAAGTGTACCAATACTCTCCAGTGACCATGGGAAAGCTGGATGGAGCAAAGTAGCCATTGGCTGAACACATTCACACAGTAAACTAATATATAAAGTATGTTTAACTAGGTTAAAATTTCCATTCAAACATTCCAAATTTATCATATTTCAGTGGAAACTATATGGGTTCATAAAAATTTAAAAAATGTGTTTTATTCTTTTACCCACTAAGATACCAAAAAGCTGGTCTTTTCATCTTGTATTGGACTTTGGTGTAATGAAATAATAGAAATTTGGTTCATTAAAACCATGGAGGCAAGTCAGTAGATTATCCTTATCCAAAATAAAAACCATTAGGTTACCAATCTGGTTAAAGGATAGACTAATTGAAACTGAAAAATTGAATTGGATCTACTGTTTGCTTAAAACACACTGTAAGCAACAGGATTCTGGAACTACCTAGGGATCACCTTTAATATGACGAAAGTTCTCCAATCAGGTCCTGCATGATCTGCCATAGTTCTGCCATGTAGAGGGATGATTTGGGTAATTTGTGGTCTGTCCACCAAATAGGAGACCTAGATTGGTTGCCTGTTCAATCCCTGGTCCACATCAGCCCTATACCCCACCTTTTATGTTTCAATTTGATATTAGCAAGGTGGATGAGTGGTGTTCAAAGTGGAATGGTAATGGGTGTTTCTCAGTGCGATCTTTGGCTGCAAGTTTCTAGTTGCACATGGAGCATACTTGACACCTGTACTTTTTGTCAAGTTTAAATTTTTAATTTAACTAGAACTCATCATTGTTAAGCCTGTCTTACACTGCTGGTCCCAAACCCAGATAAAGTTGGAGGGTTGTGTCAGGTTGGAAGCAAACATTAGTTCTTATTGCCAAACTTTAATGAACATGGATCCTGAATTGTCATTTTGAGTAGAATCGAGTATTTAATTGAACAAACACTGGGTCTTCACATAAAGATAGATCAACTCCACTATGCTCAAAGTTTTGCAAGCATTATTAGCAGTTCATATAGATTATTTTAATGTAGTTTTGATGACTGTGTAACTCTTATGAAAACCTTAATGCATTGTATTTGTTCCCAAGGCTGTGTTTGGTTGCTATATAAATAAATTTGTACTGATGCAAAACCATGGCAGTGCAAACGATTTGAGTGTAAAGTCTGAGAAAGCAGAGCAGAGGTATAACATTGCATGACTGGTTGAAAGCAGAGTAGCCTAGCAGTTAGTCAAACATTGATCACCATTGTGAAGTAATAGGAACTGGAGATGGTGGAATCTCAGTCCTACCTGAAATATCCAGGAACCTACATAAGCAACAATGTGACAGGAATATATCCCAATGAATGATAATGTTAGACCAACCAAAAGCTAGAAAGTGGAAGCACCAATCATGCCAAAATTCTAGCTGCTACTTCTTTCAACAACCTCTCAAAGAAGATTTATGGTTTCTTTTGTACCTCATTTATTCAATCTCAGTACAAGAGTTTGTACTTCAGATCTTAAAAAATGACCAAAACTTGAAATTGAAAATATTAGCTTCTCTTTCTAATATTTTAAGGGAAGGAAGGCTGAGAGTGGAAGAGACGAGATGGTAGGGAACACTTTAAATAATAAATCTTGGGGTTTGTTCTGTATTTTCCAGACAAGGGAGTTAAGTGAAGGAAGCACTAGACCAAAAGTTTGTGGTTTGAAATGTCAAGTTGGAACCTTTGAGAACTAATTACATTAAGAAACCATTCATCATTCAAGTTTGTGGTTTGAAATCCCATGTCTTGCAGGTAAACCTGTCTGTTAAGTTGCAGCTTTGGCACTGAACTTGAGTGAAAAGTTCAAGAATAGAAACACTGTATTCACCACTCACTATCTCAAGCTATTATAGATCCCCGATATAAAAGGGTTGTACCAAGTAGGCAGATGGTTCAAAAGCCTTTTGAGCCACACCTATAAGGATATGAATCTTGCATATTGGTTGCATGGCTTAGGGAAGAGCATGGGTATACAGATTTATTAAGTTAAGCTGAGATTCATCTATTAAATAATGATCATGTATTCAGTTCATTTGGTATTTTAATCAGACCAAGTAAATCAATAGATACCAAATTACTAATAAAAATTTGAGATTTTGATAATAGAAGTAATGTTAAGAAAATGTGATACTTAATTAGGAGAAATCAAAGACAAAGAGTGGCCAAATATGAATAGGTAGTAGAGAAGGATCATAATTGAATTGTAAGTTTTGGACACTAGAAAAAGGTAAGAAATTTCAGGTGAAATAATTGTCTACCCTGATACCAGAAAACAAGCATTCCCAACATATGATCAAAAGGCATTCAAACCAAGAGATAAAGTCAATACCAAACTGAAAAGTTCAAACCAAGTAATACAATGGGAATATCATTTTTGATAAACCCTACTCACTTAACATACACTGGTAAACCTGCTTGGATGTTCTACCAAATCATCAGTTTGGCTCAATAAATAGGACCCTCAAAACTGCATGAACAAAATGCCAAACATCCACCTACCATCAATGGTCCAATTTATTATGACAACTCTTTCATGGCTTGAACCATTTACTACAGCTGTCCAGATTTTGGATCTAGATCAGAGAGTCTGTAGTTCATAGGAAAGGCTCATGCCACTTATTGAGCAATTTCAATAGTTAATTCTATTAACCAGTTGTAAGTAAAAAACAGGATAGAAATCAATAACTATCATTTGCTACAAGCACCAAAGAATGTACCTGTGCTTCCAGCTTATTCGGATTTGTTTCTAATGCAATTAGGTCAGCACCTGATTCTGCTAAGACCTGAACCCTTCTCCTGTGAAAATCTTTCAAAGTTGCTAGAGTAACAGCATCACCATAATCCCCACTGCAAAATGACACAAGGAAAAGAAGACATATATTAACATGAAAGTTTAAATAGAACCTAACATGAAATTAGTAAAGCCATAATGATACAGCACATCCTGGAAACAATATATTGTAGTACTTTCCAAGGTGTCTCTTGACTCAGCCAGATAATGACTCAACCTCCAAGGGGCCCCCTCCTTGTCCTTCAGTCATTTGATAGTATTAGCAGAATCTCTACAATGGATAAGTTCTGAATGCCCAATCTTTTTATTATTCTGATTCCAGTGAGAGCAGACATAACTTCAGCTGGCCTTTGTTGAATCAGCATCACTTACTGAGATATTGGAGAATGGTTAAATTTAGTGCTGCAATTCTAAGACTTGGGTAATCAATAATCTGTTTGACTGTAAGTAATAGACCTAGGTGTATAAATGAAGTCATTAGTAGCTCAATAAAGACCAGGATCACTACCTGAACTCTGTTCTTTTGACTTAAATCAGAAATTGACTAGAGTTCAGTTCTGTTATTTGCAATATGAATAAATCAGAAATTGACTAAATTAATTTTTGGATTACTGTTCATGCCACAGAAATCTTCCTTACTAGAGTCAAGTAATCCTAGACTCTTTATCTTTTTTACTCTTATATTGAATATAAAAGAGGATCCCTACTGTTTCTAATTTTGTGGGTGTTGAAGTCTTTTTTTTATTCAAATAATATGTAATAAGTGGGTTAGCTAGTCTGCTAGCCAAATCATTAAAACTATAAAAAGTATCCCATATGGGAGTTCCCCCTCTTTAAGTGGGGAGTTCTCTCTCTTTGAGTGGGGAATTCCCTCTCTTTAAGTGGGAGGACAGGTGTCCTTCACCTAGAAGGAGGAGGTAGTTACATAACTATCCCACTCCCTATTTAAGCTCCTTAAGAGAGACACGGAGAGACTCTTCGGAGAAAATTTTCACAAGGGATTCTTAAGAAAAGCAAAGACAAGGAGAAAAGAAAAGAGARGTGCTGAAGGGAAGGCAAGGAAGGAAAAGTCTCACTAATACAGGTAGAAAAAAGGAAAGTCCTCTTTGTTAATACTTCCTATTTATGTCTTCTGCTACGTATCCTTCTCTCTCTCTCTGATAAGTTCACTTTGATATTCTGAAAACCTGAGCTGGTTCGAGGGAGCTCACCCTCCTGAAAACAGAGTAGAGTAGAGGAGAGGAAGAAGAGAAAGGAAGAAGAGAGGAGAGATGGAGGAGATCAGTAGGGTCTCATTTTTCATTGCCCAGAATCGGTGAGGTAATACAATGCTTATACCCTCTCTTCAGCCTCTCCTGCACATGGCTTGACTGAGACGGCTAACTAACTGGAGGGACGTGGCCTCCTCACGTAAACAAACCTCAGTGGCGGTTGCACATGGGAGATCGAGTGCTTCTCTCGTGCTTGGCCTGGCTGCTGCATGTTGTGGGCCTGGGTCTCCTGTGATGGGCCCAAATGGGTAGTCAAGGGCCTATCAGTCCCACCCTCTTCAAGAAAAACCTTGTCCTCAAGGTTGATGTGAGGATATTGGTCTTTCAGTTTGTCATAGTCTTCCCATGTGGCATCTTCTGGTGGCAAGTTCTTCCACATGACCAGGGCCTGCTTGTGTAACTTCTTGCCCATTTTGACCCACCTTATATTTCTGATTTGTTGTGGCTCAATCAATATGTCCCTGTCTTCAGTTAACTGTGTAACTTCAGCATGCTGACATGAAAAACTGGGTGTAATTTTGAGGAAATAGGAAGCTCCAGTTTGTAAGCTACCTGCCCTACTCGTTCAATCACCATGAATGGGCCAAAATACTTGGGAGCTAGCTTCTGCCATACCTGTCGGACTACCGAAGCTTGTCAGTAATGCTGGAGTCTTAAGTAAACCCAATCCCCCACTGCAAATTCAAGCTCCCGATGATTGCGATCATAGGTTAACTTCATGCGCTGTTGGACTTTCTGCAAATGCAGCTTGAGGGATCTCAAAATCTCATCTCTGTCCAATAACTGGGCTTCTACCTCAGCCACTGTAGAAGTCCCCTTTTCGTACGGAAGCACAGCTGGAGGATCTCTCCCATAAACTATTTTAAATGGAGTGGTCCCTGCTGAAGCTTGGTATGTGGTGTTATACCAATATTCGACCCATGGCAGCCAGTAAGCCCACTGCTTGGGCTTCTCTCTGATGAAACAACGCAAGTTTCAAGGCAACGATTGACCACCTCGGACTGTCCATCTGTCTGGGGATGGTAGCTGGTGGTGTGAAGCATATGTACTCCTTGAGAAGAAAAATAAGAATCCCAGAATTTGCTCATAAAGAGGGGGTCTCTGTTGGTCAAGATAGAGTTCAGAGTGCCGTGCAATTTGGCTACCTCCTGGACATAAGCTCGAGCCACTGTGGAAGCTGTGTACGGCTGTGGTAGCGCCAAGAAATGAGCATATTTGCTTAGGCGGTCCATAATCACCAGGATCACCGACTTCCCTGCTGATTTAGGCAACCCGGTAATAAAATCCATGGTAATGTCTTTCCATACTCGTTCTGGAATGGGTAAGGGCTGAAGTAGACCTGCAAGAGACTGGGTGCTATACTTGTGCTGCTGGCATATGTCACAACAGGCCACGTAACTCTGAACCATACGTCTCATTCCCCTCCAGTAGTAGTGGCTCGCTATCCTCTTGTAAGTTCTGAGAAACCCGGAATGCCCACCTATAGCCGAGTCATGAAATAGCTTGAGCAACTCCTTCTGATACTCTGATTTGCTGGCTACTACCACACGACCTTTATAGAAGAGTGTAATACCAGTTACAGAATACCCTGGCACTAAAGTGGGATCCTTGCTCCATTGGGATCAGATCCGGCTGAGTTCTGGATCTGATTGTGCCTCCTGCTGGATGAGGTCATACAAGGGGTAATTGGGTTTAGACCGGCCCATCAGCTAGAAAACTTCTACCCTGGATAGTGCATCTGCCACTGCATTTGAAGGCCCAGGTTTATATTCAATATGAAAATCGTAACCCAAAAGTTTGTAGGCCCATTTTTGCTGTTCTGGGCTGAGAATCCTCTGCTCCAATAAATGTTTAATGCTTCGGTGATCGGTTCGTACCGTAAATCTCCTTCCCAGAAGGTA